GATGGTCTGCCCACCTCCTCATCCCCAGATTCCTTCTTCCGGACCCCTGGCAGGGGGTGAAACCCCCACCTTTTGAACGTCTCTCTTTCTATGACGCCTGCTGCCCCGCTGACCGCTCCTCTTCTGCTCCCTCTCCCTCCTCCCTCCTCCTGCTCTCCCTCCTCCCGCCGCCCTCCCTCTCCCTCCTCCCCCTGTCCTTTCTCACCCTCTGCTCTTCCACCTCCCACCGCTCTGCTGCTCTCTCAAGGCAATCTCGCCCACTCCTCCATTTCACCCTTACACCGACCACCTCAAATCCAGAAGCTCCAGCCTCTCCATGGAGCCCAGGCCCTCAACTCTAGACAGTGCGCATGCAGGGCCTCAGCAGGCCAGAGGCTCAGAGCTCAGCCTATGGCCCAAAGGCTTCAACGTTTGTGCCTCACCCTGGCCCTATTTTATATTCCTTCTCACTTTTTTCTCTCTGGTTTCTATTTTATCCTCAAGTTATCTCATAATCTATGGACCCTTTTAACCTGCCTTAAACCCTCCCCTGTAAGGCAAGGCATAGGTAAAAAAAAACTAAGTAACCAACCATAAACGCCGTAGAATCAGCCTCCGTCTGGTACCTGCTGGCCCCTCACCTCCCTCCCTTGTCTCAGAGCTGTCCCTCCTCTGTTAGTGGCATTGCCAGCTCTCCAGGCCCCACACCAGAAAGGCTGGAGGCTCGGCTGACCCAGGCTCTCCTTCTTCCACGTTTAGAGTTACCAAGCCTGGAGCCCTTCTCTTCCCCACATCTCCAGAAGCCCACTGCTCTTCTCCACCCCCACTGTCTCTATCCCATTTCAGGGCTTCGTGATTGGATGGTTTGTTTCTTTCTTAAATATATCTGAATGTTAAAAAAAGAAAAAAATTTACTTAAGCAATAGATGTTCATTACAGAAAATTTAGAAAATGCAGATTGACAAAAACAACGAAAAAAAATCTAATTTTATCAATGAGAGAGAGCACTACTGACATTCCGGTGCGATCCTTTTTCAGTCTTTTTTTAAAATAAACATATAGCATCTTTATTTTTTTTTTTTAAACCCCACAACAAGGGGCCTCCTTATTTGTTTAGCAGTCTGTTTTCTTCATCTTTCTGGTTCTGGGTTCTGCTGATACAACTCCCAGGAGCCGCTGTAGGTAGAGGCCAGAGACGCTGGCTCTCAGGTGAGGCGGCCACCCTGCAGTGCCACGCGACATACAGGTGGGTGGGTAGCAGGGCTTAGGCAACCCCCTGGGCTAAAGCTGGGCTTTTTGGTCAGGAAGTCCAGGTGGGCCATTGACAACACCCCGCCTCCTCCTGCAAAAGAAAAACAAACAAACAAAAAAACCCATTTGCTGTCGAGTGGATTCCGACTCATAACGACCCTAGAAGACAGACTAGAACCGCCCCGCAGGTTTTCCAAGGCTGTAAATCTTTACAGAAGCAGACTCCCACATCTTCCTCCCACCGAGTGGCTGGTGGGTTCAAACTGCTGACCTTTTGGTTAGCAGCCGAACGTTTTAACCACCACACCATCAGGGCTCCCTGACTTCTCCCCAGGGGAGCTTAAAGGTACCTTCCCAGGCTTTAGTCTATCTGTGGCTGGGCTGGGCGGGGAAGGGAGTGGTCTTGTGCAATAGGACAAAGCGCTCCTCGTTCAGGGCTGTTTGTTTAAGTTGGCAGGGAGGGAGAAACCACCCAGTTTTTGTCCGTGTTTGTTTGAAATGTTGGGACCAATATGGTTTTGGAGACAACTCCCGAATATGGGGAAGGCAGGGTGGGTTATAAGGGACAAGAGGATGGGAGTTCCAAAGCTGAATGCCTGGAGGGTCTAGGCAAGCACCTAACCCTGGAAGCGGCAGGCTGGATGGGGGCTGTGGATGTGCTGTTACCCACCTGGCTAAAGAGGACCCCAAAACTCGCACTTAGATTGCGGCTAGCGGGAGTGTGGGTCCAGGACTGCCAGGTCTCCTACGTTTTCACGAGAAGCTAGAAATACGGATTTTATGTGAAATCTCTTGGTTCTTTCAATGTTGACAACTAATTCAAGAAATTAAACCACTGTCTGGGTCAAAATAAAGCATGACTGCAGGCTGTCAGTGGGTGACGTCTTTACTAGCCTTCACCGACCACGTACCTCACACAGGTTACCTTGCCGAATTCACTGGTGTTTCCTCTCTCTGTCCTCCCTGTAGTGCGACCGTTAAGGATGTGGCCTGCTTACCTGTCCCAGGACCTCCTGCCAGATCCTCTTTCTTAAAGATAGGTTTGGATCTCTTTCCCCTGCTCCAATCTCCAAGTGCCCACCAATGTGGCCTCTGAGTTTTTCTTCTTACTGCTTGGGTCAAACCGAGCAGCTTGCTGGTGCCCAAACAAACAAGGCCATGATCTCCACGCCCAGTTTTTGCTATGATTTTGTTGTGCCTGGAACACCCCACACCCACCTGCTCACCTCATTTTATACTTCCTCCATGAAACCATTTCTCAACCTCCTCCTTAATTTTCACGGCTGGACCAGTCTCTGCTTTAGTTCAACAAGCAAGGCCTAGCATGGGATATAAGACCCAGTCTCTGCCCCCAGGAGCTTCCCATCCAGATGAGGGAAGGCATACACTAAAAAAAACAAATTAGTTGCTGTTGAGTCGACTCTGACTCACTGTGACCCCATATGTGTCAGAGTAGAACTGTGCTCCATGGGGTTTTCAATGGCTGATTTTCCAAAAGTAGATCACCAGGCCTTTCTTCTGAGGTGCCTCTGAGTGGACTCGAACCTCCAACCTTTTGGATAGCAACTGAGCGTGTTAACTGCATGCACCACCCAGAGACTCCAGACACACACTAACGTGGCCCACATACATGCAGCAGGGCTGCGAGCAACATGAGAATGGACAGGGAAATGACGACCTCTGGCTGGAGCCACGGGAGGCTCTACCAGCTGGATCAGGGGGTAAGTCGGAGCTTTCCACGGGCAAAGAGGCATTAGAGGTAGAGACAACCACCTCTGCAAAGTTCTCAGAAAGGGACTTCATTTGGGTCGGTTCAGAGCGGAGGGCGGCTGGGGAAGTCAGAGAGATCAGGTATGGTTTGGGGACAAGTGGTATTCGCATTGTGTCATCCCCGCCGCCAGCAATCCAGAGTGTAAACTCCAGGACAGCACAGGCTGCATCTCAGCTTTCATTGCTCCACGCATCTGACACCTGCCTGTTTTCCCGTCCTCAAACCTGTGCAGCAGAGAACACAGCGCCCAGAGGAGTGACAGCGCCCCCTAACGGCTCCATGTGGGATCACAGCTCCTACCGCCAGAGCTGACCCAACACAGACCCCAGCAGCTGGTCCTAAGGATAGCACTCTGCCTGGCATGGTCTCACTTACTCTCTACCCCACCCCGAGAGAACGTTCGCTTTGACCTATTAAGCACTTACGCTGTGTTGGTCATTGTTCTAGGCATTGGGATACAGACGTAGGCTTTAATGAGTCATTAATCACCCCAGGCCGGGAAGTACTCGTCATCGATAATGGGTGTCAGACCGCGAAGGATGGATGAGTGGCTGGCAAAAGTAGGGTGCTAGAGGGGAAATATGATGCTCCAGGTGCCAGAGCAGGTAACGAGCCCCAGCCCCTGGCATCCACTCAGCATTTAGTGAGTGGCTACCATTTACTGCAGATGGAGGGAGTATGGATGCGCTGCTGGAGCCCAGGATGACGCAGTTCTGTAGAAGCTTACACCCAGTGGGAAGCCAGGTGAATGAAGCAAGGGGGTGCTCTGTGCCCAGGTCCTCTTAGCAGACACAGGAATGTGGAGCAGGGAGAGCCCCCTGATCCGGGTGTGCGCGGGTTTCATGAAAAAGAGCTTAGGTTGAGGGATGAGTGGTGGGCAGGTGGTCTAGGCTGAGAGCACACGTACAAAAACATGAAGCGTGAGAATGGGCCCCATCAAAAGGAGCCCTAACCTTCTAGAGTGCTAGTGTGCCTGCGCTTCTCAGTCTGATCTGCATGCTTGCCTCGGGGGTGTGCAGCTACGGAATTCACTGAGCTGTAGGCTCATGTAGGTTGTACTTCAATTACTTAGAAGCCCCAACCTCTTTCACATTCCCGTTTCTCTGCACAGCCCTTATCACAGTCTGCTTCTCACCCTTCTCTCCCAGGCAGCTCTAGGACCTTGAGAACTCACTTAACCATACTCAATCATATCACCGTCACTGGTGAAATAGGGATAACAGTACCTAGATCACAGGGCCTTGGAAACCCTACAGGGCAGTTCTGCTCTGCCCCACAGGGTCGCTATGAGTCGGAATCAACTCGACGGCAGTGGCTTTGGTTTTGTATCGCGAGGCTGTGTGCAGAGACAGTAAGTTGAGCTACGTAAAGCACTTCCACACTGTTTTCTACGTGCTTGTCTTGACAAGTCAAATTTCTGATGACTGGCAGTGGCTGGGCACATAGGAGCTCAGTAAATTATTGAATGAATAAAAGAAGGATTTTCTGGAGGACCAGGAGAGGGTCAAAGAATAAAGTTCAACTAAAGGCTGCATTCCTGTGAAGAAGCCAAGGTTTCTGTGGGTGGGAAGGGACACAGCTGGTGACCTGGGCCAGATGGGACCCCCATTACCAGCCACTAGACCAAAGGGAGTTGGTACAAGAGACCAGGGTTCAAATCTGCAACCTTCCCCATCTGCACACTGAGAAGACTGCCCCAGCTACTGACCAGGCTTGCTCGGAGGCTCAGACCAGGAAGAAACAATCCTACACAGCAGCACTGTGGCCTTGGCCTTCTCGCCCTCCCCTCTGGTGGTCAAATTTGACACTTCTCTCCACCCTCAGGGGCTGGGACAGTTTCGGGAGAGGTAGGAAAACCGGCTGAACAGGGTGGTCAAAGCCTGAACTGGTTGGACTTGGAGAAGACAGAACCATCTCCCCCCAGCAACTGTGTCCTTTCCTTGGCCCAGAGAATGGAGGCAGAAGCCCACAGACCACACCCTTTTATTACTCTGTGGGTGGACTGGGGCCTATGACAGGGTGGGGAGGGGGTGGAGGTGTGATGTGGAGGGAGGAAGGGGTGCAGCCACTCCCTCCTCTGCCCCTGGGCCTTTTCTGGCTCTGTAGGCCAGGCCAGGCCAGTTGGGGATGGTCAAGGTCAGAACTCAATATTGGAGGAAGAGGAAGAGGAAGAGGAAGAAAGGAGGCAGCAGCCATACAGCGGCCTTCCACTCCTCTTCACCCACCCCACGGCATTAAATAAACAAAAAGCAACTCTTTATAGCACAAAATATACAGAGATCCTTCCCCTCTGCCCAGTCCAGGTTTGGAGGACAGGGTTGGGGGCCTCCAGCTTTTGACACTGTCTCAGGTTCTCCTCACACCCTGAGGTGGCCATGGGTAGGGGCAGGCAGTTCTGAACAGGAAACACATCGTCAACTTCCTCTGAAATCCGAGGCAGGTGGTTGAAGTGACAGGTCCATCTGCGTATGGGACTCCTGGCTCAGGGGGTTTTCCTGTTCCAGACCCTTGAGCTTTCTCAGAATCACCTGGCCCAAGCTCAGCTGAGGCACCTCCAGGAGGAGCTGGAGCCCTGGCCTCTGAGCAGAGTGGGCCTAGGGGACAGGCAGGGGGAGTCTGGTCCCAAAGTTTTCCCCAGCCCAGGCCTCCATCTCGGCGAGGAAGAAGCAAGGCCAGGAGACTGATGAGCACCCCAGCTAGGGCCAAGGCAGCTCCCGGCTCAGAGGGGTCGGGTTGTGTGGTTATAGACCAGGTGCTCCATGTCCTCAGTGGTGGAGACCGTGGAGTTGGCGGGGGTGGGGGGTGGGGGGTGGCGGTGGCGGTGTCCGCGGAAGCCCTTTCTCTGGTTCTTGAAGAAGCAGTAACCCAGGATGGCCACGACCACCACGATGCAGACGGCCAGGAGCACCGCAACAGCCACCTCCACGGAGCCTGAGGGGAGAAGCAGCAGGATGAGGGGCTCCTGGTTCTGATGCCCACCCCCACACTCTATCCAAGGGACCAAGTCAGAATGGTGCCAGCTGTGGAAGGCCATGGGCACCCAACTCAGACCTCTAGCACATGAGGAGGCTGACACTCCATTAGGAGCTCAGAGGTCTAGGCTCCAGGTGGCTTTACTTGAAAGAAGCCTGGAGAAAGGCCTGGGACCCTGATGGCAAATACCCGGCATGCGTTTTATTCTAGTTCCTCCCTTGGCCATGGCCGGCATCACTGTGTGATTGTGGCACTCTGTCCCTAGATGCAACCTCAGGATCCTCAACACAGCTTAGGTAGTCTCCCCTAATGATGTGGAGGTGATCCTTGAATTGATACCTACTTGTCAACCTCAGGGACAGGGCAGTACAGGGCTTACCTATGCTGGGGACGGGGTCTTCTCGGCGCAGACCGAACACATCCTTCTCTGCAAAGTGATGAGGGGGGAGAGAGCAGTCAACACTAAGGGCTCTGAGACCCAGCTGCTCCCCAGTGCTCCAGATCCCCTGTAATGGGTTGAATTGTGTCCCCGCAAAATCTGTGCTGGAATCCTAACTGGGCGGATGGTGTTTTCTTTGTTATGTTGATGAAGCCACATCAGTGCAAGGTGTGCCCTAAACCTAATCACGTCGCAGCTATACAAAGAGCCAATCAGACACAGAAGCAAGCACAGGTCGGGGAAGACAGATGTCATGCAAAGGTCGCCAAGGAACTGAGGAACCCTCCGGGCTACAGAAGCTGAAAGAGACAAGGATCTCCCCCCTAGGGCTGATACCCCTATAGCTGATGCCCTGAATTTGGACTTCTAGCCTCCTGAACTGTGAGAAAACAAATCTCTCTTCTTTAAAGCCACCCACGTGTGGTGTTTCTGTTACAGGAGCACTAGGAAATGAAGACACCCCCTGCTGCCATCTCCCCCACGCCCACTCCAGGCACTCTGAGAACAGAGCAGAGGGCTCTGGCTAAGCTCTGCCTCTCCCATTTCTGCCACCACCCCCCGCCCTGCTCACTGGAGATGCCGCGACAGGACTCGAGACACTGCTGCTCCTCCTCGAAGTTGTTCTTGTTGCCATGACAACCGCCATAGGTAAAGCGGGCACAGTGCTCGGTGAAGGGGTTGTAGTACCAGCGGGGAATGTTCTCCTGGCAGAGTCCCGTGTCTGGCAGGTCCACGCAGTGCCCTGGGGGAAACAGCAGGCAGAGGGGCGAGTGACTTCAGGGGCCTCCCAGCACCACCCACCGAGCTGCCCACCACCTCCCAATCCCGCCTCGTGCTGAGAGGGGGCCGTGGCTCACGGAGCCTCAGGAGCCCAGGGCAGCGTTGCCAGAAGCAAGGGACACAAATTCTGGACAATAACCCTGGGCACACAAGTAAACTACACCGCTCACAGAGTTATTTCCTTCTCCATTCCCTCCCAACTTTTTGACTGTGCCAAAGAAGCAGCCTCAATTTTCTAACACGGGCTGACCTGCCTTTTTAACCAAGAGGAGGGGCCTCAGGCCTAAGCCTTGGCAGGCAACTATGTCCAGCTAAGACTGATGAACACTGCTTTATTGTATTTATTTTTATCGTCGTTCTCCACTTGTGGCAAGTCATAGCTGCTTTCCTTTATGTAGTGATGTGAAATTTCCTTTTAAAAATACATTAAAAAAAGAGTTGATTTATAGAAAAAATATAAGTAACATCTCAATGCTACATGGGCACGGCTGAAGTGATGACAGTCTTAGGACAATGACCGAGGCCGGCGAAACGTGAGCCAGAGAGGACAGCCCAGGAGCCAGCCAGGGAACACGCTGCTCATCTGGAGAGAGCTGCACCCACCTTACAGGCCCCTCCTGAGCATGGTGGGATACGAGTGAGGCTGGAAGGGCAGGTTGGCAGTGCCAGCGTCTGCCCTGACCCTGGGGGTGGGGGCTCTCACCTTTGTCACTGGGGAAATGGAAGCTCTGGAGCTCGTCGAAGCCGCTGGTGTCTGCAGAGATGAAAGGTCAGAGGCTCAGACCCAGTAAGGGTCTCCCAGGGGCGCAGGGCAGAGATGTCAGGACCCCCCACCCACCCGCTGCACACCCCTCTCCTCCCTTTCCCAGGCCTCACATTTGTCACAGGTGGCCTCGTCGGAGGCGTCAGGACAGTCGGGGGTATCGTCACACTCCAGGAAGCTGTCAATGCAGCAGCCATTGCCGCAGCGGAACTGGGTGGCCTGACAGGTGCCAGAGCACACTGGGTGGGGGCGGGACGGGTGGGGTGAGGTCACGCAGGAGCACAGAGGTCACCACCCGTCCAGCCTCTGCCCCAGCACAGCATCAACGCATGCCCGCTTTTCCCTTCTACCACCGCCTGGACCTCCTACACAGGAGCTGGGCAGACCCTGGCAGGGGGACGCTGGGCCGGAAAGGGCGAGGCGGGTGATCCCTCCACGTCTCATTGAGGCAGGAATGGTCAGGGGTGTGGACATCAAAGTGGGGGGGGGGTCCCTGGCGGGGGTGTGGGAAAGAGGGAAAGGAGCAAAGCCCACCTGGATGTTGCCTTTCCACGGAGGGTCCTGGGAGAGAGAGAACAGAGAAGTGAGGGGAAGCAGGGCCAGGCCCCAGCAGAGATGAGACGGGCGCGGGGGGCTGGGACTAGGGACCCCCACCACCCACCTCCCTCATCAGTGAAGAGACTATCCACCCTGGGAAGCTCGCCCGAGCCTCCCAGCGGCCTTCAGAGGCCCACCTTGCACGTCCCGGCAGGCTAGCTTGCACTCTTCCTCCCGGAGGTAGTTGTTCTTGTTGCCCAAGCAACCGCCGTAAATGAAGCTCTTGCAGACCTGCTCCGTGGGGCTGTAGTACCAGCGCGGGAAGGCGCCCCGGCAGCGGCCTACCTTGTAGGACGCCAGGCAATATTCTGGGGGGAGGGGAGCGTGTGAGAGGGGGCGTTCGGAGCCAATCAGCGGAGCGCGGCTCCCAGTGCTGCCTCGCCTCCCCTCCCGCTCCCGCACCTTCTGTCTGCTTGGCAGACAGCACAGTGATCGTCATGTTGGCAGTGTCGTCTGGCTGGTCTGAGTTGGTCACTGTCAGCTGGAACAGGTAGGTGCCTTCCTGGAGTCCCCAGAACTTTACGTGGTCCTGGTCATTTTTCTGTAACAGGAGTGGCCATCAGGCCAGACACCACCTGATGACCCTGGGCTTCTCCAGGCCCTCCCTGTCACACATCTACCCCTGGGCAGAGCAGAGGGAGCAGGCACTAAATGCATCCTCAGCTTCTACCACCCGCACCCCGTCCCCAGCCACACATCTACCCCTGGGGAGAGCAGAGGGAGCAGGCACTAAATGCGTCCTCAGCTTCTACCACCCGCACCCCGTCCCCAGCCACACATCTACCCCTGGGGAGAGCAGAGGGAGCAGGCACTAAATGCGTCCTCAGCTTCTACCACCCGCACCCCGTCCCCAGCCACACATCTACCCCTGGGGAGAGCAGAGGGAGCGGGCACTAAATGCGTCCTCAGCTTCTATCACCCCACCCTGTCCCCAGCCGCTGGCTGGCCAGTCCTCCTGAGAGCTAAGCAGGGCCAAGGACCCAGCCCAGCACCTCACCTCTATCCTGACGGCCGTGTCGCCTTGCAGCAGGTACCAATCTGCATTCTCCTCACTCCTCAGCACCAAGGGTTCCTGGGGCTGCACCTTCAAGTCCATGCCTGCCCAGGCCTTGGGGACCCGAGACTCTGAACAGAAGGGGAGGTTGGGTCAACTCCCACTGTGGACCAGGTGTCTCCTGGGGGTCAGTGGATCAGTATGGGTGAGACCTAGATCCTGCATGGGATGCAGGCCGGAGCTCACAATTAAACGATCTTTTTTGCTCTTTACTACGTCTTTGGTATGTTGAAGACATTTTTATGTTGTAAAACCTTTTTTTTTTTTTTGGAAGCAAATTACTAAACAGCATATGCCATCTGTCTGATGGGGGTGGGGAATATATACATATATATTTATGGAGCCCTGGTGGCACAGTAGTTAAGAGCTCGGCTGCTAACTAAAAGGTTGGCAGTTCAACTCTGTCTTACAGGGTCATTATGAGTTGAAATTGACTTGACAGCAACAGGTTTTTACACACACACACACACACACACACACACACACACGTGGAGCCCTGGTAACACAATGGTTAAGCACTTGGCTGCTAACCAAAAGGCTGGTGGTTCAAACCCTCCAGCAGCTCTACGGGAGAAAAGACCTGGCGATCTGCTCCTATAAAGATGACAGTCTAGGAAACCCTATGGGGCAGTTTTACTCTGTCTCACAGAGTCACTATGAGTCAGAAATCGACGCGGTGCACACAACATACATGCATACACACACATATATATTTTTTGGCTTGTTTCTGTTTCCTACAATAAGCAGGTATTTGTGCTAATTGCTTTTAAAAAGTTAATGTAACAATATTTTCAGAAAGCCAAATAAATGTGTGACTGAACCTATCACCCCTCACTCTGCTGGCCAGAGGCTGGGGGAGACCCCTGACTGACCACCTGGATAGAGCCCTTAAGCACAATCGCTGGGCAACAACATGGCAATCCCACGGTGCCCCAGGGTGAGCGGCCGAGGGAAGAGGGTGCCTCTATCACCACTGTGAACAGACTCCACATCCAGCAACAAGGGGTCCTGAGGGAATCATGCCCTCCCTCAACCTGAGGCTTCTCCACTCTCAACGTTAGGGGCTGGGCGAGGGAGAAAAGCATACAGCAGGATTTCTGCCTGTAGTGGGTTAAATGGTGGCCCCACAAAATACATGGCCATATCCTAATCTCTGGAATGTGACCTTATCTGGAAAAAGAGTCTTTGCAGACATAACTACGTTAAGGATCTAGAGATGAGATCAGCCCGGGTTATCTGGGTGGGCCTTAAACCCAACACCACGGCAGAAAAGACAGAGGTGGAGGCAGAGATTAGGCCCAAGCCAAGGAACGCCTGAACCACCAGAAGCTGGAAGAGGCAAGGAAGGGCCCTCCGCTAGAAACTCTGGAGGGAGATTCTGGACTTCTGGCCTCCAAAAACGAGAGAATAAATTCTTGTCATTTTGAGCCACCTAATTTGTAGTCATTGGCTATAGCAGCCACAGCAGAGTCATATGCTTCCCTTCAGGAGACCACAGCCCAGTTGGGGAGATAAGATAAAAGCACATGGAACCCCAACACAAGCAACGTGGGCTAAGTGGACGGGGACAAGGCAGGGGACGTTCGGGGAAGGGAGAGGCCCCAGCAGCCTAGGGCAATAAGGGAAGGCTTTCTGGAGGAGGGAGAAGAAGGGATGTCTTTGTTTGGCTGTGAGGAAGATGTGTGGTGTCCTTGATGATGACAGAAAACACGATTAACCAAAGCAAGGAGTTAGGAATTTGCAAGGCTAGTCTGGTGGACAGTAAGGAGACGAGCTAGGCTGGGACAGACCTCAAAGGGTCTTGGATGCCAGGACATTTGGACTTAGGCCCACAGCAGGAGTAACATTTAAGTATTTAACAACTGGGTTTTTTTGTTTTGTTTTTTGGTACAGGAAGGGGAGAAACATTGGCCGTGGACCGTGGAGCAGGGTTCTGAAGGTCCCAGTGCACCAGACACTGACCTCCTGGATGCATGGCCCTGGTCCAGGAACGCTCAGGGAGAGGCCAAGAGATTGGGCAGCAGGGGGCCCCAAGAGCTCTCTGGGCAGCGGCAGCTGTTAACACATTAGGAAGTATTCCTGTGGGGGTGGGAGGTGAGCGAGCAGTGCAACGCGAGTGGTGGGACTTAGGGAGCCAGCCAAGGAATGGAAAGGAGGATGTGAAAAACAATGCCGCAGACACTTCAGCCTCCTGGGCCTGACGGGGGCTGGGGAGCCAGGGCACAAGCGGAAGGGAAACCAGACTGAGAGGGAACATGTGTATTCAGTTATACAGAAGTTGGACTGGAGGGAGGAAAGACCGTCCAGAGAGGAAGTCAGCAGCAGGCAGTGGGAGATGTGGTGGGAGCTCCAGAGGGGCCAGGGCTGCAGACAGATCTGGGGTCACGGTTATTATATTCGGTGAAGGCACTGTGCTACGTGCTTTAGATTCTCATCATCTGCACTCGATCTGTTGTGGTATTACATGCCCTGTTGTTGTTGGTTGCTGTCGACTGGAGTCGCTTCCGACTCATGGCCACCGCTCGTGTGCAGAGTAGACCTTTTGGAAGCAGATCACCAGACCTGTCTCCAAGGCGCCCCTGGGTAGGTTCGAACTGCCAGCTACTAAGGCTGACTTAGTAGTCAACTGCTGAACTGTTCGCACCATCCAGGGAACCTGACCTAGGTGCTTTTACCTGCATTGCCTATCTCAGGAGCTGGAAAACCATGGCCCACAGGCCAGATCTGACCCACTGCCCATTACATTTTTAAATGGTTGGCCAAAAAAAAAAAAAAAAAAAAAATCAAAAGAAGAATAATATTTTGTGACATGTGAAAATTACATGAAATTCAAACTTTGGTCTCCATAAATTGGAACACAGCCACACCCATTCATTTACACAGTCTACGGCTGTTTTCCCACTGTAACAGCGGAGCCGAGGAGCTGCGATACAGACGGTATGGCCCACAAAGACTAAAATATTGACTATTCGGACCTTTACAGAAAACGTGTGCTGGCCTGTGTCACCTACCTTCATAACCACCTGCCACAGCTGCATTCCCAGCTCTCTTGACAGGTGAGAAGTTACACCAGGTTAAATGGTCTGCTCAGGGTCTCAGTCACTAACCAGCAGAGCTAGAATTGGAAGCCAGGTCTGTCTGACTCCACAGCTCCTGCTCACTCCAAAACAGTGGGCTGTAGATCACAGATCCGCTTAGAGGTGTGATTTCGATTGCTTTTATAATCTTGGGTTGTTGTTTTTTTCTTAGCTTAGGCAATAGACTTACATGATACAAAATTTAGAAAGCACAAAAGGGTAGTGAAAACGAAGGTCCGTCTTCTTCTTCACCCAGGTTCCTCTCTCTAGAGGCCTCCACTTTTACCAGTTGTGTGTGTGTCTGTGTGTGAATATTCGGAGACATTCTTTGAATTCACAAGCATGCAAGTTCTTCATCTTGTTTTTCCCTTAATACATATTGGAAATGACTCCCTAGCAATACATAGCCTCCTTTGTTGTTGTTGCATAGTATTCCACTGTATAATTTATTTTACCTTTCTGGAGCCCTGGTGGTACAGTGGTTTAAGCGTTTGACTACTGTCATGGTTTGAATTATGTCCCCCCAAAAATGTGTGTATCAATTTGGCTGGGCCACGATTCCCAGAATTGTGTGGTTGTCCTCCATTTTGTGACTGTCATTTTACGTTACAGAGAATTAGGATGAGATTGTATAACACCCTTACTAAGGTTACATCCTTGATCCAATGTAAAAGGAGTTTCCCTGGGGTGTGGCCCACACTACCTTTTCTCTCTCAAGAGAGAAAAGGCAAAGGAAGCAAGCAGGGAGTTGGCGACCTCATACCACCAAGAAAGCAGTGCAGGGAGCAGACTGCATCCTTTGGACCTGGGGTTCTTGTGCAGAGAAGCTCCTAGGCCGGGGGAAGACTGATGATGATGAGGACCTTCCTCCAGAGCCGACACAGAGAGAAAGCCTTCCCCTGGAGCTGATGCCCTGAATTTGGACTTGTAGCCTACTAGACTGTGAGAAAATAAATTTCTCTTTGTTAAAGCCATCCACTTGTGGTATTTGTTATAGCAGCACTAGATGCCTAAGACAACTACTAACCAAAAGATCAGTAGTACAAATCCACCAGCCACTTCTTGGAAACCCTGTGGGCAGTTCTACTCTGTCCTATAGGGTCGCTATGAGTTGGAACCGACTCGACGGCAACAGGTTGGGTTTTTGGTTGACCAGTTCCCTGTTGATTTAAATTAATCAATCCTTTCTTCCTTCTTTCTGCTATTAAGAACTAAACCATGCTGCTTTAGGTTTGATTGTAACATTCAGTTATAGGGTGTGTTGACAGACATGTAGATTCTTTCCAATTCTTTGCTATTAGAAACAATGTTACAGTCAGTAACTGGCTAGTCAGTTGTTCTACACATGTATAAATACAGCCGCAAGATGAATTTCTAGAAGTGAGCTGTGTCAAGGGTTATGTGTATTTGAAGCTTTGATGGGTACTGTTAACTTGCCCTCCAAAGAGGCTCTACTGAGGGTTACTTCAAGTGTTTTAAGAGTAAGCACATAGGAAGAAGAGAAGGTAAAGAGATAAGAACAGCTGGCAGGAGGCTGAGTCACAGGGATCCCTCTTTGATGAGACAGAGAAAACAGGGCCAGTGGGGGACTCAAAGAGTCACAGACCGAGGAAGGCCAGGGCATAGTGTGACAGCAAAGGGAAGGGAGGGGAGAGTTTCCATAGAGAAATATGTCAAACGGTACAGAGGATTGTTGTTGTTATCTGTCAATTGTGACTCATGGTGACCCCACGTGCGCGGAGTAGAACTGCCCCATAGGAGTTTCAAGGCTGTGACCTTTAGGAAGCAGATCGCCAGGCCTGTCTTCCAACACGCCTCTGGGTGGGTTTGAACCACCAACCTTTCGGCTAGTAGTCTAGTGCTTAACCGTTTGCTCCATCCAGGGACTCTGGTACAAGAGAGAGGTGTACAAAAATGCCAAAAGGGGAACTGGGTTTCAGGGGTTTTGAGGAAAGAGGACAGGGAGTGTGGGAAAAGAAAGTGCCTGTCTTGATGCAACTCCCAGCCCAGTGGTTTGGCTGGTAGTCAGGGGAGGATGGCCGGCCGGGCCCTAGGACGGGGCCCTAGGACGACCGCAGAGAGACAAAGCCAAGAGGCACGGCAAGGGGTCGCTGAGCTGGGAGGGCCCCATTCCTCCCTCTTTGCATTTTACAGAAAATAATTGGCTGTCTGAAACAGGTCTACCTAGCAGAAGGCCAGCCCCACCAGGCGCCCAGGGTGGGAGTGGCAGGCAGGGTGATGCAGCAGAACTTGGGCCAAGTCTGGAACGTCCCATCCCCACATAGCTCTGTCCTCTCAAGCCCCAAGGACCAAGGGGCAGATGCCCTGCCTTGCCACTCCCTCCTCCCAACCCCAAAGAGAGCAAAGGGCTCAGTGGCAATAAACCAACCCCTCCCCCAGCTGCCAGACCTCAGAACATCTCCAGGGAATCACGGACTCTACCTCCGAAGGCCACTCCTCCAAAAGCATGAGAGGGGAGGGCAGAAGGGGCGTGGAGGAAGGAGCAAGCTCCTCCAGCCTCCCAGCTCAGGAATCTGGACTGAACTGGCCCGGCCGCAGGCGGAGAAAAGGGAACAAACAAACCAACAAACCCACCCTGGGGAGGATTTCTCTAGCCAACTCAAGAATCAAAGGTCTAGATGGTGTAAGCACCAGCCTCCCCTTGCCTGCCTTGCCCCTGTCCTCCCAACCTCCCAGGATGCCTTTACACTGGTCTTGGCCACCTCCAGCCTCTCTAGCTGGACTCAGCTAAGAACGGACCCCCTAACACACACAGCTTCCCCCACTCCCCAAAGCAAGGTCCAGCTTCTGAAATGCCCCAGGAAATCCCCGCTCCACCTTCATGTGCCAAACAGGCCAGTCCTGGGGGTTTCCAGATGTGGAAGGTTGGTCCCAAGGCCATGTGGCCCCAGTCCAGCTAGCTCTCTGACCAGACCGCAGAGTTTGGGGCTCTGGCCCTGGAGTAGAACTTCTGCGGGGCCTCTGTTGGAGCAAGAGGGGCCCAAGCAGCGCAGGCCAATTAGAGCCCTCACCACCTACACATCCGCCACTTCCTGAGGAACAGGTTCTAGTCCTGGGCCAGTGGGGCTTGGGGCCCAGCCTGGCCCAGAGATGGTGGCCCCTCATCAAAGCCCCATCCCATTTCATCCCATCTCTCCTCAGAGGCCCAAGAGAACCACTGGAAGGCTAGGGAGAAGTGAGGCCCTTAGCCTAGGGGAGGGATCAGCCCAGGAAAAGGCCAGAGCACTGATAGAAGAGTCCCTTCCTGACTTTGCAGAACAGAGACCACTCCCAGACTCAGACCCCGCCCAGTCCTGGCCCCTGCTGGGTTCTCCTGCTCTGGTCTGTCCCCTTCTGGGCTGTCTCAGGTCAGAGTGTTAGGTTTCTACCAGGGAAATGGTCTGATAGGAGGTGACCCTGTGTTGGAGTCACAAGTCTACCATTTACAGGCATGTTATCCTGGGGAAATTACTTAATAACAGAGTTTCAGTTTCCTGATCTAAAAAGTAGGGTGACCACTATTAGCACCCTTTTCAGAGGTTGTTGTCACGAGGCCTATGTGAGAGAATGTGTGGGGCAGCGCTCAGTAAACTGTAAGGTGCTAACAGAACCGTCAAGACCTGCCTCTGCACTAGAGCCCCACCTGGTCAGAACAGCAGGTAAAGACAATGGGGAGCAAAGGTCTCTGGAGGGGCTAGGCCCCCACTTTGAACCCTTATCCCTGGACGTAAATAAGGTGAGTAGATAACTTGACTGCCAGATCTTAAGCAGGGAGAGCCCTGTCTGGCTCATTCTAGAAGTCAGCTGGGTACATGAACTCAAGCACACACACACACCTGCTGGGACAGCTGACATCCCTCCCCTACCAGGTACACATACCAAGTGAGCTGACTCACCAGCAACCCTCCTCACCCCCACCCCAGAGCCTCAAGGCTATTGTGTCTACAACAACTCCCCTCCACTCTTTTGGATTTGCATCATCTTCAGACTGGGCTTGCTCTTTAGTCTCTGGGGTCTGGTGGTCCGTCCCAGACCACCAAAGGGCCAATATGTCCTGGGAGGTGGGGAGCACGGAGATGCTACCCAGTCCTAAATCAGCCAGTGGAGGAGACTGTCAGCAGGCTCATCTGACAGGGCCTCGAGGTACCTAGGGCAGTCCGTGGCCAGAGGCACCTTTTCAGACAGCTCACTCCCAGGCTCAGCCTATCAGGGCCAGAAGTGAGGAAGCCTGGGGAGCCGCCTCTTCTCTCCCATACATACACACACCCCAGAGCTGAAGGCCTTCCTCCATCACCTCTGAACATCGTGAATTCAGAGTCTGAACTACAGGATGTCACCCTCCCAAGCAGGGCCCCTTCCTCTATTTACTATTTTATGCTGCCTATTTCTGAGGAGGAATTGTCCCCAGGCCTCCTTAATCAGCCCCTTTCCTGAAGTCCTCCAAAGCCACCCAGCCCGGCACCCTGCTCCTCACCTCCAAAGCCCTGGGTCTGAAGCTCCCGGTAGGAGCTGTAAACCTCCCGCATGACGTAGTTGACGAAGCCCTCCCTGGGCGCGAACTTGCACACGAAGTTCTGCTCGTAGAGGCAGTTCATGAGAAAGCAGGAGGGGGTGTCGTCCTCCAAGCCGTTGGGCCGCAGCTCCACCAGCGCCAGGTTGCAGCTGTGTGTGGCGCAGCAGGCGCGGACGCAGTCCCAGTCGCGGCGCACGGTGGGGGAGCCCAGGAAGGTGGCCCCGTTGCTGACCGAGGCCTCGGTGTCGAGCACGAAGGCAGGCACCCCGGTGGTAAAGCGGTTCAGGCAGGCGGCTCCCGCCGGCGGCCCGGGGGGCAAGGTCGGCGGTCCGGCCTCGGTGCCCGGGAGGCCGAGCGCCCACAGGAGCCACACCGCGGCGGCGGCAGAGACGCGGGCCGGAGCGAGGCGGGCGCGGGCCATCGTCCTCCCGGGGGCCGTCGCCCTCCTCCCGTGGGGGGTCACCTTCACAGTGCGGGCCTCTGGCCTCTGAGAGTGCTCGGGAACTGAGAGAGGGGAGGAGACAGAGGAGGAGACACACCTCATCAGCCGGGGAGACCTCGAGGGAGGCGGTCGGCCGGGAGGAAGTGAGGGGGAGGGCGGGGAAACACCCGGCACCCCGCGGGTGAAGCGGGGTTCGCGGGCCCGGCCCTCCCACGCACAATCCCGCGACCAACCGCCCGACGGACGTGCAGACGGACGGCTAAGAAACACACGTACCCGGACACCAGCACGAGCGCAGAACAAAAGGCCAAACATGCTCCGAGCCCGCTCCGCCTCCCGCTCCGGGCCCGGGTTACCTGCGCAGGTGAGCAGGGTGGGGCCAGGTCCGCCGGGGTTCCGGTCCCGGCTTCCTGCGCGGCTCCGGCCGCCGCTTCCGCACCGGTGTCCGGGGCGTTGGGGATCAGCAACTCCTCGGCGTAGCTTTTGGTGAAACTGAGTCACCGCGGCGGGGGCGGGGCAGGACGTGATCCCCTGCGCCGCCAGCCCCGCCCCGGCCGGTGCGCCCCGGCCCGGCCCCCCAAGCCCGGCTTCCGGCCGCCCTTCCCCGCCGCCCTGCGGTCTTCCCTCCCCCAGCCCGGCCCCCCGAGGCGCTGCGAGGCGCGCGGGCGCCCTCCTTTGGCCGCGCCCCTTCGAGGCTGCTCTTCGCCGACTCCGCCGAGCCCAGCCCCGCGAGGGGCCCCGCGCTGCAGAAGAGCACCCCGACCCCACGGCTGGGACGCTCCGGCGAAGTCGGGCGCGCAACAGCCCAGCGCTCTGGGGCGGCTGCCCCCCGCCTGCCTTTCCTGTCCTGAGCAGCATTCCCAGCTTGTGGAGGGGTTGGGGGAGGAGAGACCAGGGAAAGCCCGCTGCAAATGACCTGGCCGTCGGTCACCTGCCCTCGGGAAATCATTTCCATTTCTCTGAGGTAAGAGAACCTTTGATTACGGAGTTCGGGATGCCTGTTTCAGTGTGACCGCCCTTGCCACCATCGGGAAGCCCTTCGTTCTGCCTCAGTGAGAAACTGAGGCAGTTTCCTGAGTCCAGGCTTAGCTGCTTGACCCACAGTGGCTCCCTTTTGTTTGAGGTCCTTCCTCATCTTGTATTAAAGTTTACCTTCCCGTCTCTTGTCGAAGGGGAGCCTCTGTTAGAGCGCTTTGGCCCCCTTCCCTGGAGTTCAGGTTCCCTCACCTCTCCTGGTTAAGAGATGACCGCTTTTTCCGCAGTGAAATTGCCATTTTCATCCTCCCTAGAAACTTAAAGGTTCTAGTTCACCAAAGTCACTGAGTCAGTGCCCTTCACAGAACTTTGCAATCCTTGAAGCCAAGCTCATTGCTCTTCCTGAGTGAAGAACTCCTCTTAAAAGACCATTCCCTTCAGAACAAGATCGGTCCAGTCCACGCTCTCCCAAAAAAGAAAAAAATCCCACACCTTTTCATGATGGCTTAACGCCCTCCACCCTGTGGGATGGGTCTTCTCCATTTCTCACCTAAGGCAGCTTTACCTGGTGGTCCTGTAGCCAACTCTTTGAACCTTTCCCTTGCTCAACTGCGGGATCCCCCAGCTGCCCACATCGTGGGTGTTGACTGTGGGAATCTGGGGTCTGTGTCTTCCCTTCTCTGGATTTTCTGGACTTTTCCAGAGCCCCTGGCACAGTGGTGGACATAGGGCAATGACAGTATGCTGGGAATGGAGCAAATGATTGTGCAGTTACTGAGTGTAAAGGATTTAGTTTTTCTCCACTGTACCTTTAATACCTTAAACATACAAGGACCCTAGCACAGGAGAATACAACCTTACGGGCATTTCGTTTGTGTATGTGTCGCTCAGTTACAAAGACCTGTGTTTATCAAGCACCGACAGTGTTCCAAACCCTTGTTTCTTAGCACTTCCCACACTCTACCCCATTTCGTACTCAAACCAAGGACGTGGGTACCATTTTTATTTCCATTTTACCAATGAAAAAACAGTCTCAGACAAGTGAACTAACTTAGGTCGTGTGGCAGCTAGGTGGCAGAGCAGGGATCGGAGCCCAGGGAGGCTGACTTCGTTGCTTCAGTGCCCAAACATTCACTGTGCTTGCAATTCTGACTTCATCTGGAGGTTTCACCCTCTCCTCAAACTTGCTTGGGACAAAAACTCATTTTCAAGTGGTAAACAACCATCATTTGTTGAGATGCCTACTGTGTGCTAGGTGGTATTAACATACGATTGCTAATGCTCACGACAACTCAGAGAATTGTTTCCCCTTTGCAGAGAGATTCAGTAGCTCCATCAATGTCCCATAGTGAGGAGTGTGAGACAGGGTTATATAGGGATTGGGTTTGTGGGCTCAGAGGCAGACTACTGGGTTCAAGTTTTCATCAGCCACTTACCTGTCTGTGTGACCTTAGGCGAGTTATCTAACCTCTCTGTGCCTCAGTCTCTTTGTATATGAAATGGGGCTTCATAGGGTCGTTGTGGGGATAAAATGAATTAATACAGGTCGAACACTTGATGCCATGAGTGCTCTATAAATGTGACCTGAAAAGAAAGTGACTGAGCCAGGGTTTTATCCCACGATTCTCCAACATGGAAACCCTGGTGGCTTAGTGGTTAAGGGTTCGGCTGCTAACCAAAGGTCAGCAGTTGAAATCCACCAGGCACTCCTTGGAAACTCCATGGAGCAGTTCTACTCTGTCCTATAGGGTTGCTATGGGGTCGGAATAGGGTTATTCTCTGACATAAAAAAACCACACTTTTCCCACTACCTTATGCTGCTTCTCACATGTAGAAAGAAAACCTACACGTGAGGGACAAAGACTGTAAAATCATCCATCTGTGTTGAAAGTGATTGTTATGAATCGAATTGTGTCTTCCCAAAATACGTGTTGGAATCCTAACCCCTGTACCTGTGCATGTGATCCTATTTGGAAACAGGATTTTTCTTTTGTTACATTAATGAGATTACAGCAGTACAGGGTGAATCGTAAACCTAATCACTTCTGAGTGATAAAAAGGCCAGAATAGACATATACAGATACAGGGGGAGGACAGACTCTAAGGAACCCCAAGGAATGCCAAGGATGGCTGACAGACACCAGAAACTGTGAGAGAGGCTCACAGAATTGACCCGGCCAAGACTTTAGCTTCCTAAACTGTGAGAAAATAAATTTCTGTTCTTTAAAGCCTTCTACTTGTGATATGTCCATTATGGCAGGACTGGATAACTGAGGTAGTGATGGTATTTCAATGGTGAGCATATGGTGTAAGATTTTCTTGTTTCTAGTTTTTAAGATATTTTCCAAGTTCCCTTTAATGAGCACAGAATGCTTCAATATGAAGAAAAAAACACATTATGACAACCTCCAAAACCCAAAAAAAAAACCAAACCCGTTGCCGTTGAGTCGATTCCAACTCATAGCAACCCTACCATCCTATAGCACAGAGTAGAACTGCCCCAGAGGGTTTCCAGGGAGTGGGCTGGTGGATTCAAACTGCTGACCTCTTGGTTGGCAGCTGAGCTCTTAACCGCTATGCCACCAGGGCTCCACATATTTAGCCTCAAATCTCTCTTCTCTCTACTTTTCCCCTGGTCTTACTGCCCCAGTCACATTGGCATTATCTGTGCCCCTGCTTTTCCTTGGGCTTTCCTTACAAACATCCAACCAGCCCTTAAGTCCTGACTCTCTTCCTTGGTAGTCACTCACATCCATTCCATCTTGTCTATTCTCACTGCTGCCCTTGCCCTGAGCTCGGTGCCAGATTCCTGATGGACTCCAGGCCACCCTGCACACTGCCATGTGATTCCTTCCTCCAGCCCTGCCTTCATCTGCCCTTCACCCGTTCAGACCCTCAGTGACCCCAAGATCCTCTCTGGAAATGTGCCCAGAGCCAGCTATTCCCTGGATGGATTCATAAATTTGGTTTGTGGAGAAGCAGAGAGTTTCAGAGCTTGTAGGGGCCTTAATGAAAGCTCTTTCCGTTACATATAGGGAACTGAGGCCTAGAGAGGTACCTTGATTTGTCCAGAAACACTGAGCTAGAATGTGGCAGAGTCAGCTCTAGACCTCAGGTCTCTTGACTGCCAGTCCTGCGCCCTTTCCACTATTCTGAGCTGCCTTCCTGCAAAGCATTTCCAAATGATCTCATTTTCTAGTTCTATATTGCAGGCACAAGGGAAGCTATCTGGATGAGTAAGCTCTTTTGTTAGACCATGTGGCTCATCTTCCCTTTGTGAACTTTGGGAAGAGAGATGGTCTGGGTTTTGTGCCACAGACTTCACTCCTATTTGCTACATCACCAGTACTGACCATTGTTCTTAGGAGTGGATAGTTCGGTGACACTACTTAGTCCTTAACACCACTGCTTGAAAAGGAACACTGAGTGCCTTGTCTTGGATGGTGGCCTACTGGCATCTCTAGGAAGGTGTGGTGGCTTGTCTCTAAAAATGGCCCACCAACAGTACCCCTTTGTACTGTAACTTACTTTGACCAATAAAAAAAACCAAACCCGTTGCTGTCGAGTCAATTCTGACTCATAGCAACCCCGTAGGACAGAGTAGAACTGCCCCATAGGATTTCCAAGGAGCGACTGGTGGATTCGAACTGCCACCCTTTTGGTTGGCAGCCGAGCTTTTAACCACTGCACCACCAGGGCTCCACTTTCACCAATAGGATGTAGCAAAAATGGCACCATGTGACTTCTGGGCCTCGGCCTTAAGAAGTCTTGTGGCTTCCACTGTTCCCTCTTGGAGCCAGTTGCAATGTAAATAAGTTTGACTACCCTGCAGGAAAGGCCACCTGAAGAGATCAAGACCTTGGAAGACGAGAAACTATGAAGGGAGAGAGAGAGGCCCAGTTAGCTCCCAGTCATTCCAGCTACCCCAGCTCAGGAGCTGGGTGAAACCATCTTGCATCCTTATTCCCAGTTGACTTGCCCCAGCAGAGACTAGCTCTCCCTGCCAAGCCCTGCCCAAATGGCAGAGTAGTGAGCAAATAAACGTTGTTTTTGTTTTAAGCCTCTAAATTTTAGGGTGTTTTGTTACATGTCAGTAATAACTGAAACAGAGGGTAATATACTGTC